CAGAGCAGACAGGCGGGGGCCCACACGCGCCCTCTGCTCCACCGCAGCCCACTCCTCCCTCAGGCCGGTGGCCTGGCCCTGGTGGGGAAGCCCTCCACTCCTCCACAATCCTGGTGACAACGCCCTGGAGTCGGCGAGGACCCTGACCTGGGCCCGGGACCCAGCACGATGCTCGCTGCGTCTCCGCCGCTCAGGGCCCTGGGCCTGGGCTTGCATCCGGGCTCCCCACGCGCCACCGAGGGCCGAGTCACACCCCGGGCCTGGTTTCCTCACCTGGGCTCTGAGGGCCACCCCGCCACTCGCCTCACAGACCCGTGGAGACCTACACCCCTGGGAAACGGGGGCCCCACAATACACACCGGAGGTGACCTGCACGCACAGGACCGGAAACGCAGGGCATGCACAGGAAGCACAGAGCACGCAAAGCAGCGGCAAGCACCAGAAGTGGGGGCACGCACAGGAAGCACAGGTGTGCACAGGAAGTGCTCGGCACTGTGCTGGAAGCGCACACACATGCACACACACACACACTCACACATGCACACACACGCACACTCACACATGCATGAAATGGGGGGGCATGTACAGGAAATGCAGGGCACACACAGGAAGCACAGGTGTGCACAGGAAGTGCTTGGCACTGTGCTGGAAGCGCGTGCACACACACACACGCACACGTGCACACACACACGCACACATGCACACACGCACGAAAGGGGGGCACGTACAGGAAATGCAGGGCACGCACAGGAAGCACAGGTGTGCACAGGAAGTGCTCGGCACTGTACCAGAAGTGCACGCACATACATACACACATGCACGCACACATGAAAAGGGGGGGCACGTACAGGAAATGCAGGGCACACACAGGAAGCACAGGCACCCCTGGAAGCGCAGGGGACGCACAGGAGGCTCTGGGCACGCACAGGAAGTGTCCGGCAGCATACCGGAAGCAAGCAGCCAAGGCGGGGGCACGGACAGGAAGCGCTGGGCACGCACAGAAGTGCTTGGTACTGAACTGAAGCCCACACAGGAAGAGGGAGGCGCCTGCAGGAAGTGCAGGGCACGCGCAGGAAGCACGGGCACTGCCCAGGAAGCGCTCAGCTGGCCCTCTCACAGAAGGAAGGTTTGGGATCTTATACCTGTTACCCCACCTTTGCAGTGTGCAACACGGTGCTGCTGACGCGGGCCCCGCCGCACACCGCGTCCCTAGGACGCACTCATCATGCAGGCTGGGCCCCGTGCCCGTGGCCGCCCTCCCCTGCCGGCAGCCACCACCCCCGCTGCTGCTGTGCCGGCCTATTTGAGGTTCCGCCCAGAAGTGGACTCATGCAGGGTCTGCCTGGGTGGAGGCTCATTCACTAGCACCCTGTCCCTGCTGCCTGTCCAAGGACGGTGCGAAGGGAAATCCGGTGTGACCTACAAGGGGACAGTGTCCACCTGAGAGGAAGGGAACCCTGCCAGCGGGGAGCAGCTCCACTGCCGCGAGCTCTCCCCCTTCCTGGACTCACCCAGGTCAGAGACCTACCGTCCTCTGGAAGGAACTCTCCTCCGGCCCCTCCCTCCAGCCCCGTCTTCCCACAGAGGCTCCTCCACTCACTCCCTGGGGGTTCGTCACATGTCTGAGGTGGCGCCATTCTGGCAGGCGCCGGGGCGATGCCACGGCCCCCGGTCCTGGACCCTGCTCTGGGCAGTGAGGCCTGGATACCTCCATTGACTGCCCGGCCACTTCATTCTTTCCAGAGCATTCTCCTCTGACGGCTTCCCTGACATCCTCCCACCTGGCCCCGCGCCCGGCTCAATACGTCATCTAAGCTGAACCAGGTACCAAGCCCTGCCCAGTGCAGTGACGCTACACGGGGAAGAGGCTTGTATCTGCCCGTGGGTCCCCCGAGGCCACCCCCATCACCACGTAACCAGCAGAGAGCAGCAGCTCTGCCCCCACGCGATCCCCGCGAGGCCCGGGCTCCCACCTGACAGCCAGGATGTGCATGGGCTGGGAACGCTGCACCTTCTGCTGCGCAGATGCCTGCGGCTCCGCGGGCCTTGCTCCTGCAGGTGGCGGCTGGCCACGGGTGTGCTGGCCGTTCTGGCGCAGGGGCACCGTCTCGGACTGCATGTTACCAGATGGGCACAGACTCTCCAAAGATGTATTCATATCATTCACCAGACCTTCGAGGTCAATATCATTCTCTGGGCATTAAAAAGGCAAAGTGGAAAAGAAACGTTAGTAGCAGTGAGGGGTCACACCCAAATGCACCTTAGCGACCAGGTTCCAAGCATTGAAAACTATCATCTGAGGACACAGCAGCAAAACGGAGAAGCATACATTTCAGTAAGGATGGATGCCCATGACATTTATTCATACTGATGGATATTCCAGAGGCAGTTCAATAATTATAGCCCGACTTCATTTCTACCTGCCTGTACAGGAGACAGCCTTTATCGGCTCAGCGCACATGCCCATTGGGGTGGGTGGGCCACCCTCAGCCATAGTTGCCCAGCATGACCCCATGACCCTGGCCTCTGAGCCCACCACCCTGGTCCAGCTGGCCAGATCACAGGTGGACACGGAGCCCTGAGTAGGCCAGTCAGGATCCCCCTTCCCTGAAAATCAAGCAGGCAGACAGGGACAGGGCAACACCCAACGATGACCCTAGCCCTGGCCCAGGAGAGCCATGGCAGACAGGCTCAGTGTGTGGCCGGGCACCTCCAGCTGCCCCTCCTCTGCCCTCGCCATGGCCTGAGAGCCAGAGGAGGTCTTCACGGGAGGGAGCCTGTGGCCACCGCAGGGAGAGAAGCAAGGACGGCACACAGAGCTCCGTTAAGAATGACAGAGAACGCCAGGCAGAGATGTGCACGTGGAGACTCAGGCGCATCATTTTACGATTCATCTTGGCTAGAACACGAACCAAGACACGGTCAAAGGCACGGGTTCTAGGCAGTGCTGCCAAGGCCTCCCCGATGTGGGCGGGCCTCCCCCATCAGTGGAAGGCCTTAAGAGAAAAGACTGATGTCCCCTAAGCAAGAGGGGATTCTGCCTCAGACTCCCTGCAGCTGCCGGCCCATCCTACAGCGTTTGGGTTTGCAACTCCACAACCACGTGAGCCAATTCCTTAAATACCATGTGTATGTGGCACGTGTGTGTTGTAAACGCACACCCCGTGGGTTCCGTTGGTTCCGTCTCTCCGGAGAACCTGCTAATCCGTGGGGAGGCCGGGGACCCAGCGCACTCCCGGGTGGAGGAAAGGGCCGGGGCAGGGAGGGAGCAGGGAGGGAGCTGGGAGCCGGGGTGGGAGTCGGGCTCGGGCAGCTGTGCGTGGCCCGGCTGCTTCCTGCTGGGAGCTTTGTCCAACATTCCGACAGCCGTGGAATAATCGTGCTCTGGCCGAGTTAGTTTCGCTCACTGGTAACCCAATACACTGTAATAACACTGACCCCATTTTTCTGTGTTTTCCAGATCTGTCACTTTTTAACAACTCGGTAAATAACAGCTGAGGTGACTCTGCGGCAGCACATGGCTGGTCACGTATTCGGGCTCATTTGTTCCCCTAACGGCCCCATGTGACACCCACTTAACAAACAAGGGGCCCTGAGCTCATGACAGCAAGACCCTCCACCTCCCAGAGGCGCCTGCTCCGCACTGGCGGGTCGGAGAGCAGCAGGGTCACGTGCTGACCCAGCCCTGGCCCAGGGGCCCCTGGTTTCTGTTTTCCCGCTGGGGGTGAACAAAGGCACCTGTGGGGGGGGGCGGGGGGGCGTGAGCGGTGGGTTAGTTATTATCTGCTCCGCCGCGGAGCCCGGCGCACAGCAAACACTCGAGCGCGTTATTTATTAGCCCTCGCCCCTCCGTTCCTCAGCGCGCAATCTGAAGGTGACTATTAACCCGGCGCCCCGGCCGCGGAAAGGCCGGGAGGAGCCCAGCAGCCCGTGCGAAGGAGCAGGCCTGGGACTGGAAAACGGGTTTGGCAGCTCCCCACTGGAGCTCCCCAGGTGCGTGCTCAATGAATGAGCTCACAGAACTCTCCAGAACCCTGGCCCTCCCGTCTCCTGCTCCCTGCACAGACGTCTCAGGTGCAAGGGCACAACGAGGCAGGACAAAAGCAAAGGCCGACGCCTGCCTGGGCGGCTTCTGACAGGTCACACACGGCCCCGAGGACAGACAGAGGGACAGGAGGGGACGGAAGCACAGACAGCTGGCAGCCTGGCGGTGCAGGGGCTGCTGACGCCGAGCACAGAGGCCCCGAGCACGTGCTGTGAGGAGAGGACGGGGGCCAGAGCTCCGGGCTGCAAGGGGGTGGGGGGTGGGCTACGACCCCGAGTCCGAGTCGGTGAAGCCAGCTCGGGGGTCCAGCATTCCCAGCCCGTGAGGGGAGACGACGGCACTGCTATAGGTCAGGTTATGAGCAGTCAAATATTAATCCCGTGGCCAGATATTAAGAGGACAAAAGTGCTGAATTAATAATTAATAATTACCACAGCATTAATATTTAATGCATCACATGGGAGGACACCCCAGTCAGCAGGCAGAGCTCTTGCCGAGTCCTGTGGGCAGGGGTAGGCAGGAGGGGAGGGTAAGTGGGAAAGAGGGGCTGACAGAAACCCAGGACCTTGGAGGGACGGGGCACCCACCCACGGTCCCCTTGCCCCCACAGGCGTGCGCGAGTGTGTGCGTGCGTGCGCGCGCGCGTGTGTGTGTGTGTGTGTGTGTGTGTCCCGAGAGGAGCTGTCACCCATAAACCCAGGAAGCCCCTCATGGCTGATGGCTGAGCCCCGAGAGCCAGCTGCCAACCGGGGACCAAACGCCTTGTACAGTTATTGAGACCTCGGGCGGGGGGGCGGGGGGCGGGGTTCCTCTTACGAGGAAAGGTACAAGTTATACTGACGTCCGCAGATCGGGGGTCCAGGCAAGGTCTGGAGTGTATGTATCCATCCTAAAGCCACTCGTGTCCTCCACTCACATTCAGCTGACGAGTCGCAGCTGTACATGAGCTCCGGAACCCAACTCGGTCCCTGCGCCCTGACCCCGCCGAGAACGGCGTGCGGTTTCTCTCTACCAGGCCTCTCCGGCCTCAGGGGGTGGGCACCGCTCACCGTCACCGTCGAGCGACTTCCATGTGCACCCGGGGGCACGCCACGCGGCCACGGCGCCCCCGCTCACACACAGGAGAAAGCCCGCGCACACAAAGGCCGCTTCATCACTCACCGGCCCGGGGTCAGGCAGGAAGCCGGTTCTGGCTGACAGATTTCTCCCAAGAAAAAGCCCCGGTCCCCTCGGGCCGATTCCCACTTGAGTTATTTCCCCGGTGCTTCTGAGGCTGCGCCCTCTCGGCCAAGCAGGTCACTCGCCGGCCGCCCCTCTCTGCCCCGGGCTTCCCAGATGATGCTGACATCATTCAAAGGAAATATCAAAAAAGTGAGCTGGACGCCCGAGTGGGGGCGCAGCACAGGTGCTCACAGCGAGCGCCGGCTCCCCTCCGAGCGGGTCTCCCGGACGACTTTCTCCTTCGGCCCCGCCAGGCCCCGGCCCTGCACCTCGCGGGCGATACGCTCCACACACAAACCCACCACCGCGTCGGCTGGCTTCACACGTGCCTGTTCTGCTGCTTAGAGCAAACACAAAACTCTTTAAAGAATCTAAAGTCCCGAGGGTGGGACACACTTTAAAACGCGCTGTGGGCCCATCAGCGTTGTATGTTTTGAGATAAGAGCCTCCTGATTCCCTAGTTTTATCTGAACTTTGGTACAGTCTGAGGGGGACTCCGAGTGGAATCGTCCAAACTGGGATTTTAAAGAATTGGTTCCAAAGACCGTATTTCTCCACCGTCTTTAAGCTGTTCCCGCTCTAAGATATTCCCAAGGGGCCTTCACTCCTTGCAGACCTTCCACGGGCTCACCCTCCGTGGGCTGGTCCACGGGGGCGGCGAGCCCATGAGGATCGGTAATCAATCACCTTTGATTGGGAGAATCAAATAACCGGGCGTTACGTGAACATTAAGTGTCCCTTCGCTGCAAACCCGACGCCAAAACACTTGCCACGAGAAGGCACCTGGGGCAGGAGCGCTGGGAGGGGACGGGAGCGTGGTTTTGTAACTCTGCTTCCCTTCGCACACGTTTCTAAGGGTGTATCGACCGCACAAATATAGGTCACACCACACGGCGGTGAGTGGAGTTATTCACAGCTCCCTTCCTTCCTGGAATAGGCCGACCTAAAACGGGCTGTCGACTTTTGTCCCAAATATCTAACTGGGCAGCTCATCTGACCTCAGCTCCCAAGTGCATCTCGCCTCACTGTCCTCAGCACACCGAGGCCGCCGGCACTCAGAGGGATGGACAGGCAGCGAAAATAGCTCGGGGTTGGCTCATGAGCTATCCTGGGAGAGTCTCTTCCACCGACGGAGCCAGGCAGAGGCTGTGCCCAGCCCGGCCGAGGCCGAGGCCCCACCTCACCCTGCTCGCCACCTGCTGCGCCCGCAGCCTCGCCCGGTGCCCGCTCTAACTAGACAGCAGTGCCGACACCCCCGGGGCCGTCGCAAGCCTTGAGTCTGGCCCCTGGAGAGAGGCTCCCTTGAGTGGTGTGTTCAGGACGCACAGGAGCTGTGCGCCCCGCGGGGACCCCGCCGGCGTCTCTCCCAGGCAGCGGCTCCCGTGTCGTCCCAGCTTCTGTCCCAGGCACACTCTCACCTGGGAGGCAGGTGGGGGGCCTGCTTACACAGCTAACCCCCCACGGGTGATAGTGGGTAAGAGCAGACTGGCCCCCGAGGAGAGTGAAATAGATGGCACTTGTGAGGTGGTGAGAAAATAAGAAGACAGACAAAATCTTCCTCCACGGGACCAGGTCCCTGCACCGGGTAACTTCCTCCTAACGTTCGGCCTTCGGCTGTTCCTGAAACCACGCCAGCCATTTTATACACGTGAACGGAGCCTCTTTTGTGACTGGAGCTCGCTCCTCGCCCACACCCGAGTTTATGCACATGAGAGCCCCCAGGAAGCCATGCGAAGGGGGCAGGTGGCTCAGGGCACCGACCACATGACAGCAGAGCTTTCAGCCCCACCCTCCTGGCCTCCTGGGGAGAGATGGGCTGGGGGCTGATGTTAATCAGCAGCAGAGGTGATTTCCTCCATCGTGTCTATGCAGTGAAATTTGTATAAAACCCTCCAAAATGGAGTTCGGCCCTTGCTGGTTTGATTCG